CCAGGGCCATAGTGTTCTTTCTTAATGGTAGGTGGCACAAGGTACAGCAATTTGCCTGATACTTGAAAGAGATATTCTGTCATGCCTCAGACTACTTGACTGCTAAAAATTTACTGAAGTAGTAAACCCTGAATTTTTATGGTTTTTATCATCCAACTTCTGACACACAGTCATCTAAAGCTTCTTTAAGCTCATCAGGTTTAATCACCATTATGAAAATCATCTAGGTAGTGAGCTAGTATGATGTTCTGTGGTAAGTCAGCATAATCAAGATCTCTGCATACTAGATTATGGTAGAAGAAAGAGAGCTGCCTTGGTGCCATGGCAAGGCAATGAAAGTATACTGTTGTTTCTGACAGGTGAAATCAAACTGCTATTGGTTCTTGTAAACTGCTCTAGAGGAAACAGTATTTGACAGACTAATAGTGGTGAATGAAAGAGCTATGTCAATTTGGTCCAATCAAGATTCCACATCTTAGATAGCAGCTGCAAATGGAGTCACAGTAATGTACAGAAAATTCTGTTCTTTGGAAGACAGTTAAAAGAAAATTCCATATACCCTAAGAAGCCTGAAACACCAATCAGAAAGAATACATATACCCCCATGTTTGTAGCAGCACTATTTATAATAGCTAAGATCTGGAAACAGCCCAAGTGTCCATCAGTAGACGAATGGATAAAAAAGCTGTGGTACATATACACAATGGAGTACTATGCAGCTGTAAGAAAGAAAGATCTCTTATCCTTTGAGACTACATGGAGGGACCTGGAAAGTATCATCCTAAGTGAAACAAGCCAAACAGAGAAAGACAAGCTTCATATGATCTCAATAATTTGTGGAATATAATGAACATAACAGTCTGAGGAATGGGGTAGTCCCAGAGACGTGGAAGTGGGGTACAGACTGACAATCTCCAGAAGAGGGGGTGGTGGGGGAGAGATAAACCACAGAACTTTTATGCATGTATGCATGAACAATGGACATGGACAACAAAACTGGGGACAGGGCAGGGAGGAAGGGGGAGGGGGGAATCAGTGGGGGGAAAAGGAGAAACATCTGTAACAAAAATTAATAAAAAAAAATTTTTAAAGAAAATTCCAGTTAACCATGTTTTGTTATGAACATTTCTCTAGGCTCGTGTAACTAAAAGTATATAAACATATACCTATATGGTTTTTGTCATTGTTTGTTTTACAAAAATGAGATTATATTATGCACATTTCTCTGTATTTTACCTTTCTCACTTAATAATAGTGTGCAAAATTTCCTCCAAGTCAACTGGTGTAGATCTATTCAATTTGTATAAAGCCTCCATGATAATCCAAGATGTAGATGTACCATCATTTTTAAAACATTTCAACCTACAGATAAGCATTTCCTTAATCAATCTCTCTCTATCTTTTTTTTTTCTCCTCACCTGAGGACATTTTTTTCCATTTTTTGTTCAAATAGAGTGGGAGGGAGAGAGAGGAAGAGAGAGAGAGAGAGAAACATCGACGTGAAAGAGACACATCGAGTGGCAGCCACCTACATGACCAACCAGGGCTGGGGACAAACTGCAACCAAGGTACACGCCCTTAGCGAGAACCGAACCCAGGTCTCTCTGGACCGCAGGCCGACGCTCTAACCGCTGAGCCAAACCGGCCAGGGCTCTTTTTTTTTTCTTTATCCTCACCTGAGGACATTTTCCCATTTTTGTTCAGATAGAGTGGGAAGGAGAGAGAGGAAGAGAGAGAAACATTGACATGAAAGGGACACACCAAGTGGCTACCTCCCGTACGACCCCAACCAGGGCCGGGGGACGAATCGCAACCAAGGTACGTGCCCTTGACCAGAATTGAACCCATGACTCACTGGTCCATGGGCCAACGCTCTAACCACTGAGCTAAACCAGCCAGGGCTATCTTTCTTTTTTTAAATGTATGTTTATTGTTAAAGGTATTACAGATGTGCCCTTTCCCCTCCACTCAATGAATCCCTCCACCCTGCTTCCTCATTCTCTCTCTCTTTTTCATCTGAACAATGCCACAGAAATCATTCTTGTACATGTATTTTCAATTTACTAGTGCTTTTTTTTCTTTGGGATAAAATTTCAAGAATGGGATCGTTTGGTTGAAGGATATATGTACTTTTAAATAGATATATACAGATTGTGTTACAAAGATACTGTAAGTATTAAATTTTCAACAGTAATGTTGAGAAAATACTTTTCCTCTATCTTTACTGGCAATGTGTATTATTATTTTAAAATAGTTTTATTTATCTGTTGAATATATAATGATTCCATGAATTGTGTGTTCACATCCTTTGACCACTTTTCTTTGGGGGCTTCTTATATAGTGTCCTACCATCAGAGAAAGAGGCATTTATTTCAGTGCCAGCCATAGTACTTGTTGACTCTAACCATACGAAGTTTGCCCCAATTGAGTCATTTGGAAGTTTTGTTTTGTGTTTGTTGTTTATGCCATGGTTCCTCTTGTTCTAACTCTAGGTGTCTTCTTGGAGGTATACCCAGAACTTTCACTGCCATCTTCTCTGCATACCCACTCCCCTTCACACACAGATATTTGGGAACACTCATCACCTTTCCTCTAGCCACAAAATGAGACCAACCTGAGGCCCATCTACCTAGATCCCTCCTTCTGCAGTAGTTTCCCTCCTTCTTCAGTGTCATGCTGCATTTAGGACTTCTCTATGAAGCTTGCAGTCTCTGAGCTAAGCCCAGGAAAAGAAGCATAAGCCCTGCTGTTCTCAAATTTCTCCTCAACATACTTAGAATTTCTAAGAGTGTCTATAATATTGCCTTCAACCTCCAACCCAGATTGGGGCTCCGGGGTGGGGAATCAGATACTAACTCTAATTTAGGAACCCAGACAACCTCTAACCCCTAGTCATATCCCCTTCACCTCCTCCTTCTATCAGCTGGTCACAATTTCCCAGTGATAGAAAAAGTGCTTTGATGTCATATTTTGCATTCTTCTTTAATCTATGATTCTTCGTTTTTTTCTCAGGAGCCCAAGATTTTCAAGTGAAAGCACAGGTTTTTAAAGTCTTGTCTCAGCTATTAGTTAAAAATATTTAGAAACTCAATTAGTTTATGCATTCTAAACTATATCTATCTTGCCTACAAGATCAGCATATAACTTCTATTTGAATGCTGGGAAGAAAAGCAAAAGGCACAAGCAAATCTAAGTTAATTCCTCTAAATATTATCCCACTATGTTTGTTATGGTATTCATTTCATGAATTGGTATTAAGTTGGCCAACAAAGAATAGTTGATATCCAGGCATTTACCAGAGGGTAAAATATTGACCTCCAAGTCATCCAATATTTATTATAATCTCTGTTAAAGAAACAATATTCAAGGATGATTGCCTGAAAGATACATAGACATTTCAAATTTTGTAAAATATATTCCTGTCATAAGCCAAATTAGCAGGGATCTGAGAACCTAGACTGTAATATAGTGGCTCCTTAAGAATTGCTTTTTCTGATACAGTCAGATGTAGTATCATTTGCCTACACTTATGGTGATTGTAAGAAACTTCCATAAGAAAGTCATTGTTCATATAGGACATTCACTTCAACAGACAGAGTCCTTTTAGTGATTACTTGTAGGAGAAACTCCTGACTTTGAACCCCAATTTTCTGTACTTCTTCTTCTTAACACCAGTTTGTATTTATTTTATAAACATTGACAGAATGTTTGGTCATGTTTCCCTTTTCACATTCACTGCTAGGAAGCCTAGATTCAAACTTGTAGACAATCCAGAACAAATATTTAGGCCATTATAATATCCATTTTAGGCTTTATTCCCAGCTTCATTTACTATCCTCTTTCTTATCTTTTATTTTTTTCATCCTACTTTTAATTTATGTTCCTTTGTTGCAATCTTTTCTGGAACATGGGATACAAAGAAAGTGCATAAACAAATATATATCAGTAAAATTTGTATCTACTTTTACAAATCCATTTGGTATCCTAGCACATGAATACCTCCCCAAATACCATTCTTAGAAATACTTTTCAACATAAACTTTTGTTTTTAAGAAACATCATAATAAGCCCAGCCAGGGTGACTCAGTGGATTGAGTTTTGTTCCATGGGCTGAGAGGTTCTGGTTCCATTCCTGGTCAGGGTACATGCCTCCGTTGTGGGCTCAATCCCTGGTCTGGACGTGCAGGAGGCAGCCAATAGATGTTTTTCTCTCACATCTATGTTTCTATCTCTTTCTCCCTTCCTCTCTCTCTAAAATAATCAATAAAAACATATTTAAAAAAGATAAAGAAACATCATAATAAGATATGGTAGGCTCTCTATTCCCAGCAGCTCTTTTCTATAGGAAGTCACTAGAAAAGAGAATAAGAAAAAAAATCTTAAGCAAACCATTCTTAAGAATGGGAAAGAGATTTAGAGACAAGTTATATGCTGTGAAATGCTGTGCTATGCAAGGTATGGTTTGTTAGCTGGTACAAGTCTGTGATTTGAAAGATACAGAAATTGAGAGTAGTAAATTTTATAGCAATTTGAGAAAGTAACAGATACTAAATCAGAGTTGAATCTGATAATTAAAAAATGGGTTATAGCCCTGGCCAGTTTGGCTCAGCGGTTAGAGCGTCGGCCTGCGGTCCGCAGAGACCCGGGTTCGGTTCCCGCTAAGGGCACGTACTTCGGTTGCAGTTTGTCCCCGGCCCTGGTTGGTCGTGCGGGTGGCAGCAACTCGATGTGTCCCTTCACATCGATGTTTCTCTCTCTCTCTCCCTTCCTCTCTCTCCCTCCCACTCTATCTGTACAAAAAATGGAAAAATGTCCTCAGGTGAGGATAAAAAAAAAAGGGTTATATTTCGTATGTACTTTTTCCCCTCACTCATCCATTTTCATTGAGTATCAGTCCACAGCAGATTAAAAATTAAAAACATCACCATTACCAACAACCTAAAAACTGGTCCTTTACAAGAAATAGTTTAAGAAGCATGGCTTTAAGGGTCTTACTCTACCTTCCCATGGTCACAATACAAGAAGAGTTCAGCAAATATCTCCCTTCGCATATCCTTTTTGATGACCTCCTGGAATTCATCTGCACAGTGGCAAAGGTGCTTAAGAAGTTTCTCAAACATTTCACTTTTAAAGTCTGCAATGTGCGAAGAGATGTACTGCAGAGAGAAAGAGGATAAATGATTGATTTAAAACCATGCTGTTTACTTGGATTTTCTCAAGGATTCAGTTGATATACATAAATTACTGGCTGCAAATTTTTCCCCCCATATAATTTGCTTGTCACTTAGATAAAGCATTTCATGTTAGTGCTATTTTACAGGCTGCGCAGCAGAGAGAGGTGACCAATATAGTCCCCAACATCACACATCACCGAGACTAGATATTTTGGGAGCAATTTCCCTCTGGATCACATCAGTACTATATAGGCAGACTTTTTACTTTACTGTATGAAATAGCAACAGAATGTTGCTTATAAATTACTAACTCTAAAAATTAAATGCAATTTTTCTTTTGATGTATGGCATATAAGATCTGTTTTCCAAGACTGGCTACATTTAATTATTAGAGTATAAGGGATGGGGATTGTAGGTGGGGTTTTGTCTGCATGTTTGTTTGTTTGTTTTCTGATATTGCAATAAGGTATTCTTTATGATTTCTTTATTTTTTTAAATATGTTTTTATTGATGTTTTATAGAGAGAAAGGATGAGAGAAATAGAAATATTGATGTGACAGAGAAATATTGATTGGCTGCCTCTTGCACACCCCACTGTGCCCTGACCGGGAATCGAACCCTGATTTCTCAGTCCATGAGATGATGCTCAATCCACTGAGCCACAATGGCCGGGCTATGATTTTCTTTCTTTTTTTTGAAAGTGTAGAGTCTGAAACATCTATGATCCTGGGACATGTTTCCTTTTTTTTCTTTAATGTAAATTTCCAGGCCTGGCCAATTTGGCTCAGTGGCTAGAGGGTCAGCCCATGGACCAAAGAATTGCGGGCTTGATTCTGGTCAAGGGCATATATCTCAGTTGTGGTTCGGTCACCAGCACTGGTTGAGTCCTGCGGGAGGCAACCAGTCGATGTGTCTCTCTCACATTGATGTTTCTCCTTCTCCCCCCCCCCCCCCCCACTCTATCTGAAGATAAATGGAAAAATATCCTTGGGTGAGGATTTTTTTTTAAAAAGTAAATTTCCAGTCAAAGGACAAACACCCCTTTCTTATCATGTTCCATTAGATGCTGTGAATTCTTAAGGTGTAAAGTGAGGAAGATACAAAAGTCCAAGGATCAATTATTTGGTGTGTGGGTAACCAGTCCATGGTTGAATTGTTTTAAGATGATACAGACCTGGTTTAAATGTAGTGGGCACATTGTTTTATCTTGAGAGAGCAATATTTCTACCACCACTGTTCCAAACTCATATGATCCTGGGCCATTTTTCTTGAGGCCTGTTGAATAGATTCCTAGAAGTGGGATTGCTAACTTAGAAGGTAAATGCAGTCTTTGCTTTCATTTCCTTTTGAGCTAAGTAAAATCAATCAATCAATCAATCAATCTGCCCTGGCTGGTTTGGCTCAATGATAGCATGACGGCCCGCAGACCAATGAGTCTTGGGTTCAATTCCAGCCAAGGGCACATACTTCGGTTGCAGTTTGTCCCCGGCCCTGGTTGGGGTCGTGCAGGAGGCAACCAGTCAATGTGTCCCTCTCATGTCAATGTTTCTCTCTCTCCCTTTCTCTCCCTCTCGCTCCCTCCCCACTCTATCTGAAGATAAATAGAAAAATATCCTCCGATGAGGATTTAAAAAAAAATCAACCAAGAAAGTTTTCTGTATAGGATAAATTCCTCTCAGCTGACTATGGATATTTAGAAGGAAAAAAACCAATGAGATCAGTGTCTGTTAAGTGTGGTCCCTTGACTACATCACCTGAGAGCTTGTTAGAAGCTCTGAGAACTTGTTAGAAGTGCAAATTTTGGGGGCCTTATTCACTGAATCAGAAACTCTGGAAGTGGGACCCAGAATCTATGTTTTAAAAAGCTCTCTGGATGATACCTATGCTCACTAAAGCTTGAGAACTGTTAAATTAGATGATCTGGGGCAACTGCTCCTAATTATTCCAGTATCCTGAGGTTTTGTTGTTTGATCCTTAATCACTTTTTACTTGAATAGTAGGCATTTTTTTTAGATTACTAAGGTAGAATTATTGAATAGTTGAGATTTTCCGGCAATATTGTAGTTCAATCCTCTAACACTGAAAAAAAAATTACTGATTCATGAAAAGGATCATCCTGTTTTATATTAAGCTTTTGGGAACTTACCTTGAAGTCATGTGAGTTTTGGGGCTGTGGGAATGCTATTATATCAAGAGACACTTCAACATTCTGGATTTATAGCGTATGGGTTTTCTGAATGAGTATGTTCTATAAGTGTGGGCTATTCACACAAAGACTACCAGTTGCTAACTCAACTACAAATCAAATTCCAAAGAGAATAATTACAACAGTTTGCCAGCGTCTCTGGAAAAAAAAGAAAAAGTGAAATACAAGGACATATTAGCCCTTGTATGTTCATATCCTTCCAAGGAATAAACCAATTAACATTCATAAATCCTGAAATGATTGCTTAAGTTAATTTAAGAATATAATTAACTACTAATATACTTCAGTGTTATAGCTCTGTGAGCTGTTAAACATTTAAACTATACTTAATCAAGCCCTAGTCGGTTTGGCTCAGCAGTTAGAGTGTCGGCTGGGTCTTTTCCTTTCTGACTGGAAAACCAAAATATTGAGACTATGATAACTGTTACATCTAACAGATTGGTAGCTACTGTTAGATTCTATAGCTCTGGGCTATTGGGATTCATACTCAGTTTAATTGAAGATATACAGGAGAGTTGACGAAGTGAGTGATGTAAGACAATAGGAAGAAAACTATGTTTGGAAATTATCATCTTAGGTATTAACTTCCAAACAATATTTGTAAGCCCTGGTAGTAACTAACATTTTCAGGAATATCTGCAAACAAGTTCTTTAAGAATATTGAAATATACATATTATATTTGCTATCATTGAAGAAGTGGTGTGTTCATATAGCATTTGGGTAGAAAGTTAACTTTCTCATCTCAGAGAAGGAACATTTTGTGTGTGTGTGTGTTAATCCTTACCAGAGGATAATTTTCCATTGATTTTTAGATAGAGTGGAAGGGAAGGAGGGAGGGAGAGAGAGAGAAACATTAATGTGAGAGAAACACACTGATTAGTTGTTTCCCCCACGACTCCGACTGGGACTGGGGATCAAACCTGCAACCAAGGCATGCGCCCTTGACCAGGAATCAAACCTGACACCCTTTGGTCCATGGGTTAAAGCTCTGACCGCTGAGCCAAACCAGCCAGTGTTCAGAGAGGGAACTTTTAAAAACAATGAATGCCACTTATATACTCAACAAAGCAGAAATTATACTTTAATCTTTCTGCTTTTTAAAAATTTGCTTAACAAATGAATTGAACAAAGGCCTCTTTATTTACTACTGGCCAAGGGATAAAGCAGTTCTTCAGTGTGGCAGAATCAAAAGTTAATATCTGAATCTTACTGTATAATATTTGTTGATTTTGCATATAATTATTCTTAAGCTCATCATATAACCTCAGACTGCTCAAAGCCCAGGCCTCCTGAAAGATGATGCTCCACGTTACTGACCCTCACGTTACCCAGTTTCACGGTAAACAGGAAGGTTTGAATTGTTTTCACTTGCTCTTGGTCAGCAGGTAGATGTTTGGCCAGAGTCTCCATGATGATCAGGTGGGAGATAAGGTAAAGCAAAGCGAACTCCTCACTTTAAGTGACTAACTGCCTCACTTTACCTGGGACTTTCCTGGCTTTAGCACTGTAAGTCCCATGTTCTGAGAAACCCCTCAGCTCTAGGCAAACCTGAATGGTTTGAAACCGTATACCTTGATCCAAGCCAATAGTCTAATTCCTGTGAGGAACTTCAGGGAACATCTGTTTGGAAGCATGCTGTGTTGTGTCCTACTTTATATAACAAACTATCTCTGTAAGTATCTCTATCTTTTGCCATAAAAGAAACTTCACAGCCTTTAACCCTGTCTGTGGCATCACAGCATCTTCCCATCACCACCCCATTGGGACAACTATAATGCAGCAAACTCTATAGAGAGTTTTATTCTATGATATGTATTAACCCATTCTCACTCGATTTGTTGTATTTATGTAATCACAATACAAAAAACATCTAAATGTTTGTCACAGATAACTGGGAATGGTGATCACAAATGACAGTCTAAGTCAATATTCTAGTGCCTAGAGTAAACAGAATTATAAGAAGGCCACACTGCCCTAGAGAGTAGCCCTTTAAAAGGATTCACTCTTGCCCTGGCTGATTTGGCTCAGTGGTTACAGCGTCGGCCTGCAAACCAGAGCGGCCTGGTTTTGGCTCCTGCTAAGGGCACGTACCTCGGTTACATTTTGTCCCCAGCCCCGGTTGGGGTCGTGTGGGTGTCAGCCAGTCAATGTGTTTCTCTCACATAGATGTTTCTCTCTCTCTCTCTCTCTCTCTCTCTCTCTCTCTCTCTCTCTCTCTTCCTCCCTCTCTCCCTCAAGATAAATGCAAAAAATGTCCCCGGGCGAGGATAAAAAAAATAATAAAATAAAATAAAAAATAAAACGATTCACTCTTGTCTGAGAAAGCTATACTTTGTATTACTTTGGAGGCAAGAATTTAGGGGACTAACTTGAAACCACATAGGAAAGAATATAACCCAGCCCAGAGCCAATTGATAGTATCAGTAGAAATAGAAGTGTGTTGATTTCTGGAGCCCCCAAGGTAGGGGGAGAGGATCTGCACAGAAAAAAGATCAGCCTCTCTCAGCTCCTTACTCTGGGGTTTTTGGAGTCTATCCTCTACCTGAGGCCATTCTTTCCCCTCACTCTATGAACCCTTGTCATACTAAAGGTCTTGTATATAGTCATCACCAATGGTTTAGAGATAAGAAATTTCCTTTCCCTGGTAGTGTGTGGTGATTCCCTATTCTTCAGACAGCATTTTCCCCACAGAAACAGTCACTCTTATTAAGAATTCTATTTCAGGAACATTGAAACAAAGGACCACAGCTACTATATTAAATATTGCTTCTGTTT